CCTTTATTTATATTCCCCTGTTTTGTTTTGTTTCACCAAAGATTGGTGCTCCATTACTGTTAGAGAAGCTGTATTTGGAGAAGTCTTTAAAAAATCTTTTCATACTTGATGTCAGTGCAAATATCAGCAATGAAGATAAATACTGTAGGCCATGCATTTTAATTTATGGTTAATTTAAGGGATTAGCTTTATTGAATGAACACAAGTCACTTTCAAAGTTCAATTGACTTTTTTTTTTTTTTTTCAACTGACTTTTACTCAGAAGTCCAGCACACAATTGTCAGTTGTGCTAGTAACTCACTACTATTATGGACTATTGGACTATATTGGATTATTTTGCTGAACTCAAGTACCTATAATATTTGAATATAGTTTACACCTAGAGCAGCCTAAATTATTTTACTGAAAGAACAATAACAGATCTACAAAGAGATCATAATTCTGTTCTTTGTTGGGAAATAAAATTATAGTATAAAGGAAACATGCCCTACATAGAAATATATCCTTTTTTTTTTTTTTTTTCAGAATTGGGGATTGAACTCAGGCCCTTCTGCTTGCCCTGGAAGTGCTTATTCCACTGAGCCATCTCCCCGGCCCCTACATAGAAATATATCTTTATCCTATAAAATTATTATATAAATATTAGCTCAATGAGATAGTAATAGTGGAAGAACATCTACTGGCTAGTTAGTCTGAAAAATTCTGTTCTAACATTCATATTAACTTTTAAGAAGTTAAACTTCAGGTGCTAAGTGAATAAAAAGATATTAAAATTGGTCTTTTAAAAATATTCTTAGGTGGGTGTGTGATATACACCTATAATCCTAGCATTCTGGGAGACTGAGGGAGGAGGACTAAAAGTTCAAGCCACACCTGGTAAACTTCACAATTTAGTGAGAACCTTTCTGAAAAAAAAAAGGGTAAGGGATATAGCTTAGTGTAAAGATCCTAGGTTTTCCTACTACTGTGGGAAAATTTTTTAAAAGACAAGTTATTGTTACAGTTAAATCTCTCAAGAAATCTTTTCTAGATGATTACAATCATTTTAGAACTTGAGTCTTGTAGATATTGCATACACTCCTTTAAAAAGAATCTATATAACAATTTGTTGACATTACTGTATTTTATTTAGGTTAATGAAATCAACTAAAATCACATGCTTGTTCTTAAAAAAAGTTTTTACTATTATAAATCAATGCCAGTGAAAACAATTTATAATTTCATTAAAAGAAAATGTCTTACATAAAAGAAACATTTTACCTTCTACAATGAAATATGTTACTTTGGCAAATAAATATTTGCTGGAGAAGATATTCTGTAAAGAATTGGTTAGAAAATATAATATGTGGTTTTCTTTATTACACTTTGATGAGAGAACTCAAGTCTATTTTATAGATATAACTTGTTCCTCTTTTACTTGGAGAAGCCTAAAGGGTCAAAGCACAGTTTACAATACTATGTTGCATTATGCATATAAAATGTTAATCCAAAATAATGCTCATATTAGGTATATATTAGATATATACACTCTAATGGACAATAGCTCTTTTGCTTAATACTGTTGTGATAAAAGCTACAGAGAAGAAAGATTGAGATTATTAGTTTTGAGTCATAAGTGGATTGTTTATCTATTCTAGATTTCAAATATTTGGAGATGGTAGTGGTCCTGAGGATCACACCCAGGGTCTCACACATGCTGAGCAAGTACTCTACCACTGAGCTATATCCTTACCCTCTATTTTGAGTTTCTATAAAAATTCAGTTAAATTTCTTCAGAACTTTTGCTGATCAACTGTGACATTTATTCATGCTTTATTATAATTTGTAATTGCTATTTTATATTTGTAAAGGCAGGAGTCAAATTTTTATTTTACTTTGTTCTTTGAATACAATATTTTGCTGTGTAGTTTAGGTTGGCCTTGAACTCACCAGGAAGCCCAGGCTGGCCTCAAACTCATGACAGTTCTCCTTCCTCAGTCTTATAAGTGCTGGGATTACAGGCATGTGATACCATGCATGGTCTGGGGTCAATGTCTGTTCACACTTCTTTCTTAATACTAGGGACAGACTAATTAACTTGTTAAGGTGATAAGTATTGTTAGTTTCATAATAGATACTAAGCTATATTAAATAATTTGTCTAATATTTTGTGGTTAGTAAGTAGAGAAACAGGATTTGAATTCAGGTCTTCTACTTCAAGTTAAGTCTGTTTCAAATGCAGCTCACGCCAAGACTCCATGGTATTTCTGATGCAAAGAAAATTCATTTCATTTGCATATATATTTGCGAACATGACAGACTGCAAGCTCACACCAAAACATAGAAAATGGGTTTCTATTGGGTTTGGGCAACACTAGTGTGTATTAAATTATAAATATTACAACCAAAATACAGTAAAAGAATGTCAAACAAATTCTATTTCCAATAGAATGTTATATTATATGTCACTTTTGAATGTTGTGCATTTACCTCCGATTGAACACATTCATGATCAAAGCTTATTATTACCTCATTTCTTTTACCCTGAAAACTTGCTGTTTCTCTTTAATTTCTTACTACAAACAATGTTATCACCTACTCAATACCTTTTTTTTTTTTTTTTTTGTATTTTAGGGAAAGGTCTACAGGGTGTTCAGGGTCTCACTACTAGATCAGACTTATAATGATCCACCTGTTCAAGCCTCCCAAGAGCTGGGATTACAGGCACGCCACCACATCCAGTCTCAATTGCTGTCTCAGCGTGCCCCAGGGGTGGGGCTTGCCCTTGGCCCCTGCACCGGCTTGTAGGCCCTTTAATCTGCTGAGTTATATGGCCGGCCCTCCCATTATCTTAAATAAGAATCATTTTGACTTCTTTTCTGCCGCAAAATTTTATGCTATAAAAATTAAATAGTTCACCTAGAGTAGATGTAAGTAACACTAACCTCTATAGTGTTGAAATCTCAATCAATAAAGGGGAAAAAGATATTATTTAAAATTAAAAGAACTGAACTTTGAAATTGGACACTGAAGATACTGAATTAAGACTAATTTATACTACAAAAAGTTTTACCCTGAAGATTCTTGATTGCTGACAGGTTGCCTTACAATGGTCATTACTGCTGAATATAATTCTTAAAATCTCCATACAGCACAAATGCTCATGTTTGATTTTATCCATCCTTCATGCCACTGTCTTCTTAGCAGTCTCACCTCACTCTTTGTAAATGTATTTCAATTTGTAATTATAATGTGTGCATTATGGTTATTAAATTCTTTATTTTTGAGCTTTTTTTAACATAACTTTGATTAACTTGTAAACTCCATGAAGACAGAAGATGTATCTGTCTCTGATATTAAAGCACTTAAAAGTAGTGTACCTAGCTAATATGCAATAAAGCAGTTTATAACATTACATTTTCATTAAAGAGATTAACTTTCTTCGCTCCTTTTAAATTACTAGCATTCAAAGTTGTTTCTTTTATTATATTAGAATTCTAATTCAACATTTAATGTTTGTCTAGAAATAATATAATGGCAATAATTTCATCTTTAAGGTGTATAGTCTAGTATTAATAAAATAAACTGAAAGGAATACAGTCTTATTCCTCTTTTTAAGTTTTACTTTATTTTTACTTATTTATTTACTTATTTTTATCTTTATTTTTTTTGGCTGAACTGGGGATTGAACTCAGGTCCTTGGGCTTGCCAGGCAAATGCTTATTCTACTGAGTTATCTCCCTGGCCCCTACAGTCTTATTCCTAAAAAAAAAAAAATTGTGTCTTATTTGAAATCATTGTCAATTTGCACATTTAAATGTTATATAAGAAAAATTGTAAAGGCAAGTCATTTACTGCCCTTCAAACTTGGCACTCAAATGGCATATGTTCTTTGTTCTCTATTATGTCTTTATTGAAGCTTTACAACCTCAGTTTTTTGAATGATGAAATCAGTATCATTTATTTTTGACACATCTAAAAGCAACGAAATACAACAGTAACATCATGAAGACTTTGCTGAGAAAGTTGTACTATGTAACAGAAAACAAATTGTACTGTTAACATCAAGACCTGTGAGAGATTACTTCTAATCAAATGCAATAATAACATTCATAAAACTGATAGAAGAGTTGGGATTGATGAAGGCAGATGTACACATTCTAAACAGTGAAGATGGAAGAAAGAGGCACAGTTTGAAAAATTAACTGCTAGATCCTTAGAATGGATTTAGTAGATAGCCTGACATCTATCTATGTGTTATTAAGTAAGAAAAAAATTTATTATTAGTCTTTTGATATCATGTTGGATCCATCACATAGAGAATTTGAAAGTACAAATAACTAAACTAGAGAAGGGCCAGTTCAGGGAAAAGTAGTTATAGCACTACTAAGTTTGTTAATTTATCATATAAACCAATATATGAGGCAGCAGATAAACTGTCTAATCTTTCCCTTACCGCAATTTGTGACATAAAACATAGAGATTAAGAAACCCTCTTTCTCCTTCCCCAAAGGTTGGCATTAAAACTTTCTTTCTAATAAATTTAGATTTGTTTCCAAATATTAGGCAGCAATATTCCAAGTTGAGGATGTTTGAAAAAATTTGGAATGATACTAGAGCAGGGAGCTACCCCAGCCTCAGAGTTAAAAAAAAAAAATACCCTTGGTGACAGTATTTCATTCATCTCGCAGATTAGTGGCTGAAAATATATTTACCCTTGAGATAAAAATATTACTTTACACTGATGAATAAACTAAAAAAACACTGGTCTACAACAAAGATGAGGAACAGAGAGATACCTTTAGCTGTAATATAGTAGACGTTTTACATGAAATTTCTATTGTCCTACAAATGGCCTACTATGACAAGTCATAAAACAATGGGTGGTAACTATCTTATGTTACATTCATATTTCCTACTATCTTGCATGCAGTCTACCTTGACAAGCATCGGGAAATATTGGTTAGCTTTCTCAGATTTCATAGTGTAGCCGTTATGAGGTATCAAAGAACTGTACTTACTTTTGGTGTTGGGCAGGAAGCTGTAGAAAGGCGAGATGTAGCTTGAGCTCGAGGTGATTCTGAAGGAGTAGTGCTGAGTGAGGCTGTGTCTCGTGGGAGCACCTGAACACCACGAGAAATGATGGAGTCTGGAATCTGAAAAAGGAAACAGCTACAATTCAATATTCTGAAAATCTCAATAATATATAAAATCAATATGCACACATTAGTTTTTGACATTCTTTGCTGCTCAGCCCTCATGTAGATATGAATTATGGTTAGGTATAAACATATCCACTAAATTGTAATAGGACAGAAAATTTCAAAATTAAAATATGTCTAAAAACACTTTTGTATGAATAGTAGTACAGCAATGTGGTTAGTAATAAAGTGTATCATTTAGAAACTGGCTGTTATTTAATAATTTGAAATCCTGAACAAGGGCTGGGGAGATAGCTCAGTAAAATAAATGCTTGCCTGACAAGGGCAAGGTCCTGAGTTCAATCCTCAGTACCACCAAGAAAAAAAAAAAAGATACTTTAACCATTTCCTTTTCAGACTGGTTTTCCAACATTCTTCACCCTCTTTGCTTTAACTGACCTGGATGGACACTGTCAACAAGGAATTTTTGCTTCTTGGGTCTAGTCATTGGGTAGTATGGGCAGAAGACTGAGGGTGAGATGAGAACAGATCTACAATTTATTTTACTCGTTGCCTTTCTACCAGCTCAACATAGGTTAGCAGTTTCTCTCAACTCAGGACCAGTATTCCTCCTTATTTATATTAGTTCTTTTTCTAGATTTTAATAGATTCCTGATATTATATTTCCATTGTTATAGCAGGGCCAGGAACATTAATGATTCACTGTTACTAATCCCATGGTAGTCCACGATGCTTTGCTATTTTCCCCAAGTTCAACCTAAACCTTTGGAAACATGATAGACCCTTGTAAAATCTTAATTACCCATTAAGTGGGCTATCTCACTTTCATTAAGACCATGAATATATCATTTTAACCTTCATTTCTTTTATGTGAAAAATAAGGACAATAATATGTACCCACTGACTTATTCTTATGGCTTGTATCTAGATCCCAACCCCCATGACTTCATGGTGGCTAGATTTTGGGTGTCTGGATGTGGATTAAGAATGTGTACATCATGGAAGTCCCAACCTGGATACAGCTTATAGTCTGAACAGAATACAAAGGTACAGAAAGAAGGTAGGTATTTGGTGCTTGCTGCTTTATCTTGCCATGCTATAAACTGTTTCTCTTCTGTGATACCCCTCTGACTTGGAGTCAGATGATTATGGAACGAAACATCTACAAATTGTGAACCAAATAAGCCTTTCTTCCTTTAACTTGTGGGTATTAGGTATTATGTTTCAGCAATGAGGAAAGTAAGATATTGTGATGCTTCAGTAAAATACTGTACATCAGATATTTAGCACTTATAGTGAATTTTAATAATGGCTATTATTATGTTACACCTATCAATATTGCAAAGACATATAATTGAATATAATATTTTAACAATAGATAAGCATAACGACAAGTAATACAGAATATTTTTAATACTATTAGTATTTGTATTAATTACAAAAGGTATTATTTTAGGCTATGTATAACTTAGTTCACATTTTGGGCTAGCAGTGATGGGCATGGAACTATTATTTTAAGAATGGAAACTTAAGCCCTTTCAAGTTTTATGCATAAGACTTTTTTTTGTGGTGCTGTGGATCAAACCCAGGGCCTCATGCATGTCAAGCAAGTATTCAATCACTGAGTTACATCTACAGTCTTGCACATAAGACTTGAAACACAAATCACAAAGGAATAAGCTATAACAAATATCACTTACTACATGAAAAGAGGAAGAAACAGACTTGGTGAATAGAAAGGTACTCTTTATATTTTTGCATCAATTTCTTTTTTATAAAGTATACATTTCCAAATAAGTACCATTTATTTAGTTTTTACATCACCATCCTCAATACACTCATACATACATCCTCAAGACCTAATACAGCCACCATTTCAGTGTGTGATATTTCATGTGACATATAATTTGGATGGAAAATACTGAGAATTTTGTAAAGAAAAGTGCCTACATTTGGCAATACACTCAAACAATGGATTGTGACAACATTAAGAAATATAGTGCACTTTATAGGAGCTATTTCTTGACACTTTTGTTTACTAAAAAAGGTCATATATTGGAAAGGTTAAATGCTTCTTGTATAACACGTATGACATGGAGTCCCTCTCATTTATAGCAATAGTCAACCACACTTCTACAAGATTCATAAATACGATACCTTGATAAATATTTCCTATCCTAGAATTGACAGTGGTGATAAAACTATGTTTTTGCTATTATTTTAAGTCCAGTACCATTCTAACGAAGTACATTACAAAAGGCAAGGTCTGTATGTAAGGAGTACAGAAAAAAAAAATTGAAGGCTGTATGAGAGAAATGTCAAGTCACTTACAAAGCAAATCTATCAAATTGTTGCAGATTTCTGAGTAGAAACTCCAAAGGTTAGGAAGGCATGGAATAAGGTACTTCAAGATCTGAAAGAAAATACCTGCCAACTTAGATTATTATACCCAATGAAGTTTTTCTTCAGAATCAAAGGAGAAATAAAGACCTTGCAAGATAAACAGAAACTCATGGAATTTATGATCATAGAGGCTGCATTGCCATATAAAGAAACAATACAGCAGTCCTAGCCCAGGCATGGTGAAAGTGCGGGAGAGCTTCTGGCTACCCTGCACCAGTGGGACATACTGGTCCCAGCACAGGCGCAGCGTGGGTGAGACCCTCTGCCACCCCAGTGGGACGCCCCCCACCACTCCGCAGCACCTCCTCCACCCAGCCCGCTGAGTAGGAATTTCTGCCGTGTTCTCGGAACCCTCAGACAAAGTCCTAGCCCAGGCCCAGTGAGTGTGTGGGAGAGCTGCCTCTCCCTCCTACTCTACCATGTCCCCTTCAGACTCAGCTCAGGCCTGGCATACAGGCCTGGGTGAAACCCTGCAGCTGCAATCCCTGCAGAGAGTGTAGGGGACAGAACCACACAGCTAGTCCAGCAGCACAACATCTTGCCAGAGGGGCACAACAGGTTCACCCCCAAGGGCAGCAACGGGAAAGAGCTGAGCACAGCAGCCAGTCCCAAGACAGGCACAGCTGGATAAATCCAGACTTTGTAGATCTGCACCTGAACTTCAGTAGGAGCTAAAGTTATAACTGCAACAAAGATCTACTACAAAGGTCAGAAGACAGTGCTAAAAATATGACAAGAAGTAAGAAAATGTAATCTCAGAACCCAAGCCCACCCATAACAAGTGCAGAGTACACTAACACAGAACAAATTGAGAACCACACAGCTGAAAGCAATGAATCAACGGCTTCTGAAATAAAGAAACAGCTGCAGAAAGGTATGGAGGAACTCAGATTTGAAATAAAAAAAATCCCTGAATTAATAACATCCGCAGTAAAGAATCAAATGCAGAAACATATGGAGGAAACCCAATGCCCACCCACACCAAGTGCAGAGGACACTAGCTCGGCTCAAATGTATAAATTAATAGCGTCAATAGTAAATCATCAGCAGCAGAAAGTCATAGAGGATTTCAGGGTGGAATTGTTTCCTACCTCAGCTCAAATGTATGAATTAATAGCGTCGATAGTAAATAAGCAACAGCAGAAAATCATAGAGGAACTCAGAGCGCAATTCTTTTCTGAAATAAAAAAGAATTCTCAGAACTCATAGCAGCTGAAGTAAAGAATCAACTACAGAAACATAGGGAGGAAACCCAATCTGAAAAAAACACTGCAGTAAAAGAATTTATAACTGCTTCTAAAGAAGACATTGATAAAAAATAGAGGAGATTAGAAAAATGATGGATTCCTTTAATGAGCAATACAGGAAAGAAATAGAATGCATGAAGCAGAGTCAAAGAGATATAGAGGAAATTAAAATCTCAATCAAAAGCTTGCAAAACCGTTTAAGTGAAAGTGAAGACAGAGTTTCAGATCTTGAAGATGTTGGTGCAGCTAGTACAAAGGTAAGAAAGGATCTCTTAAAAACAACTAGGATGCAGGAAAGAATAATCCATCACCTGCAAGATGATGCAAAGATGAACAATGTGAGACTAATAGGTATCAATGAGAAAGAAGGAGTTAATACAAATGACATTAAAAATTTATGGGCAGAAGTAATAGCAGAAAACTTCCCAAATATGAGGAAACAATCTGACATTCAGGTAACCAAAGCATACAGAACACCAAGTAACCTTACTCAATGAAAAACACACTGAGACAAGTAACAGTCAAGATCCTAGCAATTCAGCACAAGAATAATGTACTGAAAGCCGCTAGAGAAAAGAAGCAGATCACACTCAAAGGAAAACCCATCAGAATTACGGCCGACTTCTCTTCACAAACCATGCAGTCAAGAAGAGCATGGAGCAGAGTAGTTCAAGTCCTTTATGAAAACAAATTCCAGCCCACACTACTATACCCTGCAAAACTCTCTTTCAAGTTTGATAGAGAAGTGAAATACTTTCATGACAAAGAACAGGTAAAGAATTTCATGATGACAAAGCCAACCATACACAGGCTACTGAAAGATGTTCTAGAGAGGGACCAAAATGATCAGAGCTCCACGAATAGGATGAGAAGCAACCAACTAAGTAGGGCAAGCAATTAAACACAGGAGAAAAAGGAGTAAACAATAACAGGTAAATAACATGTCAATCGTAAGTCAATAACAGGTAAATAACATGTCAATCGTAAGTCAATCTCAATTTTAACCATCAATGTAAATGGACTCTATTCACCAATAGAGAAATAGACTGGCACAGAGGATTAGGAAACAAAATCCAACAATTTGGTGTATACAAGAAACACATTTAACTCATAAAGACATTCATAGGCTGAAAGTCAAAGGATGGAACAGAATACTTCATGCCCCAGCACCTCAGAAAAAAGCAGGGGTAGCAATCCTGCTCTCAGACAGTCTCAACTTCAAACCAACAATGATCAAGCGAAAAAAAGAAGGCCACTATATATTGCTTAGGGGAAAAATACAAGAGGAAAAGGTAACACTCATAAATATGTATGAACAAAACACAGAAGCACCCAACTATATAA